AGCTGCAGGAAGAACCGAATGGGACAAACTGTTCACTTATAAAATAACACAAAGATGGACTCCACTGTCCCACTGCAAAACCAAATACAAACGAAAAGGACAAAAATAATTTGAATCACATTATAAAAGAACAATAAAGAATAAATCAAGGCAGGTTCATATCCTTTTTAGCTTATTCCCAAGCATAGCTTGATGTTTGAAATTTTTGTATTAATAAGCTAATTTTTGTTTCTAGGATCAGTACAGATAGAGAAAGAACATCAAATCAATTTCTCCAATGACCACTAACAAATGAAACCATCTATTTTGTTCCATGTTTGAACTGTGAAAGTAAAGGTAATAAAATGTACAGGTTACCAAAAGCATTTCATGCTTTCAGTCTTTCTTTATTGTTATTATTTCTTTATTAAGTTCATACAGGAATCATTAATCTAGAGTGATTTATTATCATCCCCACAATTATTTGAGCATATGCACTGCAGCACGCTTTTCCCCAGTTCTAACTGGTGCCTTTTAATATATTTGGTATATGCAACAACTTTATGGAACACTATCTAATGACTAACAAGGTTTTAAAATCCTCAAGAGCTCTAGGAGCAAGTTCAAACAAATTGCTACTGAAATGATATCACCAATCTCTTCCCCACTTGGGGCAAGTTCAGATGAATTGCTACTGAGATGGTATCACAGATCTGTTTTCCACTTGCACTGTTCCAGTAACACCTACAGTCAAAAGTCAAGGGTTCCCATGCCTATATCATCTGTTCTCAGATCACTGAAGCTTAAAACTGTTGACAGAGGCAAAGAACTATAAAACAGAAAGGCTAAAATGCGGACTTATCCTTTAATTTGACAATTCAGCCACCTTTTTACAGAATTGGTGTAAAAAGGAACAACCTTAGTGAAGGTTCCAACACGGTTGGAAGTTATAGATAGAACTACAGTGGATTTCAAAAACAAATCACAACTCGGAAGAATTCCAGTATCTTGCTTTTAAAATTCCAGTTTTTAACCTCTCACTAAATCACCTAATATTTCTTATTCACGTAGAACTGCAAATATATAATACAAAAAAAATTTTAAAGCAACCAAGAGCTCACGTATAATAATAAACAGGTGTAATTAATGGAATTAGTATTCATTACATGATTTGTTTAATAGTATGTCAACTGAGGCTAAAGTATTAAGCAGCTTGCATTAAAAACTTCAATGTCAGTTCTCTGTATAATCTTTTCATTCTGAAAAAACTGTAATATATTCAAAACAGCACACACTGTCTATATTCTGTTAATTAGCTAGATGGCATTAGATAGATGGCTATCCATGTTACACTACCTACTGCTTTTAAATTTAAGATAGGGATAAAATAGACATCTCAGTTACCATTTTTAATATTTGAATTGGTGTTTGAAAGCTGGTAGTGCAGAAGCCTACATAATCACAGAATGGCTGAGGTTGGAAAGAACCTCTGAAGGTCATCCTGCCCAACTGCCTGCTCAGTGTGGAGTAAAGTAGAGCAGGTTGCTCAGGTCTGTGTACAGTCAAGCCCTGAAAATCTCCAGAAATGGAGACTCAACAACCTGTCTGGACAACATGCTCCAATCATCTTTAAATTATGGGGAATATAGTAAACTACTCACTTCAAGTCAGCCATTATTCTGGCAAAAATAATAAAAGTCACATTACTCTTGACAAAGGAAAAAAAAAATAGCTAAATCATTTTGAAGATGTTGATTATTCTCCTTAGAAAGCAGGTCTATGAATAGCAAAAATGGATTTACTTTTTTTTTTTTTCCCCCAATAGAAGCTTCTTTCATGAGAAGTCTAGTGCTTGACACTGAAAAAATACGTAGAATGCAATCCCTAGGTCAAGTTCACAGCATGCCATCAAAGAAGGACAAAGAACCTCAAGTATACAGAGACACCTACAATCTTTGTAATTAGAAGGTATGCCATTTGCAAGAGTTATAAAGTAGACCTGTTCCTTCTTCTTTCTGCTTAAGTACAAGAACTGAAATAAGCTAAGTTCAGGTTTCATTTTCAATTTTCTTTAACAACATTCTACATATATTTAACATAACATCTAACATATTTCTTCTTTAAAAGACTAATGAAGAAATAACCCCAGGTTAATAAGTGTAAATATAGTTTTATTTTTTAAATTCACATAATAAGGAAAATTTTGATGAAACTGTGCCATACATTAGATACATTAGAGTCAAAAGTCAGATAGCATATTTACAAAACCATTAACCATTCACATGATTTTTCCAGGCATGTCGAGTTACAGAAAAGACATCAGCATCATAGTCAAAACAAAAATTTGGAGCTTTCTAATAAAGAATATGAGCTCTGTAAAAGCAAAATAAAATACCTATATCAATTAGAATGAATGCGAGATCTTTCTGTTACCTCATAAATAGCAGAAATGAATCACTAAATTGAATTATAGAGTATTTTAATCTGACACAAGAAAAACAGAAAACAAATTTAACATGCGGAGTTTAACACAATCTTTTCCTCTGAAAATTAATTATTAAGATTTATTCTTTCCACAGCTTTGACATACAAAGGAGACTACATCATGGTTAATTTTCACACTTATGTATATAGTCATGGAAGACAGCACACAAACTTTAATAGTAACTGTCAAATTCTAATAATGATTTTGATTGATAAAAATGTCAAATGATTTTCCAACCATACCACTTCTTCCACTAACCTCCTTCTCCTTCCCCCCAAAAAAACCAAACAAAAAAACATACAAAACAAAGATTTTTTCAGTACAATTATAGTTTTATGATTCATGAAACAGTATAAAACAGAATTAGTTCTGTCATCAGATCTACATTTCTATTATGGCTTTTGCAATCTGTATTGGTTAGATACTTCGGTTTCTTCCACCTCATGAGCTGTCATTATCATGCCAGTAGAATGGAGTTTGATGGACAAATCTTACACATTCAAAGCATAGAACAGATATTAATTTATGTCTGCAACGCTATGAATCAAGCAGGTATTTTACATACGGGAAAATCAAAGAAAGGTGAAGTGCTTTGTCTAACGGCACTTGGAAGAAATGAGTAACAGTGCTATAATTAAAATTCAACATCAAAAATCATATTAATCCTCAAGACCTAACTGCATTTTTCAAAGTGCATGATTTGGAACATCAAAAAAAAAAAAAAAAAGAAGCAGATCAGTCTTTTCCTCAGTACTCACATTAATGATAAAACATCGCATTCATCTTCTTCCCCTGTATTAGCATGAACAGTCATTTTTCTCAGAAATAAAATTCACAAAACCACTTGGATTTAAAAGAAATATTTATAAACAAGTCCAGGTCACAATTAACATTTAAATTCTACATTTGATTTGGCCTATATATGTACTGAGAGTCTCAGGAAAAATCACATACGCGCCAAGTATGTTAGTATACCAACTTATACCAGACTGATTTAATTAGTTTGCTTTCAATGCAAAGGTGCAGCACCTCAGCAATTATGAGATCGTTAATACAACAGAGCATAACAGCACCTTTAGAGGTCTTGTCTAACCTCTAGGCACACATATAACTCCCATTAAGGCTAATGGGAGTCACATGTGTGCAACCAAGGGAGAAGAGGTCCATTAAAACTGATACAACACATCCATTAATCTTCAGGTCACTCTTAAGGTCAAACATTATAAAAATGTTTATGAACAGTACTTACTAGGTATGCACAGTGCCTACTTTGGTTTTAGGACAGACCTGTGAGCAGTTAAGGCCATGGAAAATGTCTGCTTTAAAAGCATCACCATGTTTCAAGCAGTACCATGGAAATTTGAAAATGCTTTTCTATAGCGAGAGAACATTTTGCTACCGTCTCTTGAATTAGAAGGATAGGAGTAACAGAAAAGATGACACACAATGAAAACCTTGGACAAAAGTATGCTCTAACTTTTCATTTTACTTCCATCTCTCTCTTTCTTCATTCTTCAGTCCTTTATTGTGGTTTTCTGCTTCAGGAAGAACATTAACTGCACTGATTAAATTCCTAATCTGTGAAGTATGCTACAAAGACTACAAATAAGATTTTGATTATTGAATCACTTGTAAACTACAATTCAAGCACTGGTTGCAGGGTGGACTGAGCTTTTAAAGTTTTTCAGAGAAAGGTGCTCTTAGTTTGCTACCCATTTCAATCCGTCTATGTGAAAAAGCTCTTATTCAACACTATAGTATAATTTAGGCAAGCATCATCATTCCCAGATTAGAAAAAGCCAAAGGTACCAATTTCCAGCCATTTCATTTGCAAAAGCAGTCCAATCAGAAATGAGTTTGCTATCTTCATCCACTGAATCCTGGAGGAGAGAGATTTCTCAGAAGCATGAGGTCAAATGATCTCTCCACATGAACAGAGCAGAAGGAATGGCAGGTGGGAATGCAATTGTTAGAGGAGTACAGAAATGAAGACAAGCTTCAGACATGTTTAGTGTTCAAGAATTTGGATGAGGAAAGCTGGCTTCATTAAGGTTACTATACTGACAAAATATTCTGAAACTTGTCTTTCACAACTACTTTCAATACTCTTGCATTATTCTCTCATTACACTTGTTACAGAATCTTTGTTTCACACACTGACAACTAGTTTATCTAAGCACTGCAAGCATGCACTGTAAGACCTCACATGACAAACAAAGACAGTCAGTGGAACAATTTCTCATCTAGAAAGTAAAGCTCCAAGGTAAAGCCAATAAATACAAAGCCACAAAAGAATGCTGCACAATGCTTCAGTCTTGAGCTGCAGGTCATCTATTGTTTTATTGTGGTCCGCCCATTGAATGTAGGGTCTCACTGCACAGAACTTTTAAACACCAATACTACAGCTCTTTGTGCCCTGAAACAAGCGTTCTATGTTTCTAATTCAAATTTGCTTTCTAAACCAAAATCATAGAATCTTTTGAGTTGGAAAAGACCCTTAAAGTCTTCTAGTCCAACTCCTTGCAATGAACAGGGACATCCACAGCTACATCAGGATGCTCAGAGCCTGGTCCAGCTTCATCTGGATGTCTCCAGGTGCAGAATTGTCTCCAAAAGTGACTCATCAACCACCTCTCTGGACAAGCTGTTCCAGGCCTCACCACACTTACTGTAAAAAAATGTCTTCCTTCAATCTAAATCTCCCCTCTTTTAGCTTGAAATCATTACCCCATATCCTACCACCACAGACCCTGATAGTCTGTCCCCTTTCTCCTCATAGCCCGCCTTTAGATACTGAAAGTTTGCCAAGAGACCAAGCTATCTAATGGACTTCTCCTCAGCCATGTGCGCATTATGTTCAAACCTTTTATATCAAAACAAAATCAGAAGCTGTAAGTGAACTATTTCCATACTTTTTCATAAACTTTGCAGGCTAATCATTGAGAAGCCAAGAAAGAGACCACAATCTACTTTTAAGACTTACAAGTATTACTCAGCAGTTCCTATTCTTTTCACCTTTCCCCCAATGCCCCTGCGGTTCTACTACCTGCATCTCCCCAGCTGCCCTTCCCAGACAGATCAAACACACTGTGGCCAGTAGAGAGGACCCTTACATGTCACTGTTATCAGCCACCCATCTATCAGCAGTGCACCACACAGCACTGGAGTAAGGCACTACTGCCTGCGGTGCTTACAGGCTGTTACCACATTTTCACTCCACTCTGCTCCATTCCTCTCCTCTCACAGGCCTGTGATCTGTCAGTACGCGCTACATACACCCCTCAGCCCGCCTGCAGGGCCACAGCCACAGCTCAGGTAGCTGTAAGCCCCAGGCTGCCCCACTCCACGGGCACCAAATACAGGATCCTGAGCAAGCGAAGGCCGGAGCCGGTGCTCTCCGAGCACAGTTCCTCTTTGCCCAGCCCGCTGAACTGCCCCCGGGGCCCAGCGGGACAGCTCGCAGCCATGCACACGACTCCCAAAACAACCACCTCCCAGCAACAGCAGAAACTCAACTCTAACAGCGACTGGGCCTCTAGGCTCGGCACAGGCAACGCCCCGCCTTCCGCCCTCTTCCATTGGCTCTTCAGCTTCACCCTTTGTCGCTTAATTTGCTCTCTGGCCTGTCAGTCAATCACCTCCGCGGCGCGATTGCTACCCTGGTAGCCGTTCTAACGCGTCATCTCTATGCCCGAAGGTACTTCCTGTGCGACCGCTCTAGGCGCTTACCTGTGGCATCTATCGCCCGTGCCGCCGCCTCTCTAGGCTGTGGGAGTCGGCTCTGTGACCCAGGCGGGGCGGGCTCGCAGGACGGGGTCCGTGGAGGCAGCCGGGTGGCGGACCCGGCGGGGCCTCCGTCCGTGCGAAGCGCGAGGCAGAGCCGTGGAGGCCGAGCGATCCGGGCCCCGCGGCGCAGGTCAGTCGGGGCGCGGGACGAGGTGAGCGGGGCCGTGGCGGCGCAGGTCCTGCTGACCGCCTGGCTCTTGGGCCGTGCAAGCTCAGGACCGCGGGCCTGCTGGGGTCAGCCCCTGGCCCTTCTTGTAAACGCTTTGTTTCTCGTTATGGCCACTTCTGGCTTTGCAGTTCCGTGAGTCCCACTGGTGTTCTTTCCCTGCTGCCTGCTGTCTGCGCAGGGAGGCTGTGAGTCTTCCAACTAGGCCGAAATGTAAGGTAAGAGAGGAGGGAGCCTTAAAACACGTTCTGTAGAGGGGACAGCACGTTGAATTTTGGCAGAGATGGTTTTTCGCCTGAATTGTTATATCGATGTCAGTTGAAATTGCAAAATGTTTATAGAAAACTTTCCTGTAGCTATGATACGCCTCAGTTCATGGCTGTTCTTTGCTGGGGGTGATAGTAAATCTTTTCCACTTTGCTTTAACCCAGTCTTGTGCAACCTGCTAGTGTTTAGTTGCCAACCAATGGCTTTTCCCAAAACTAAAGCAGGTTTAGTCTGAATGGCCAAATTATTTTGGCAGGGAGATTAACTCCAGTTCATGATACGGTTACTGCTGTGAACCAGAGGACTGTGTATTTCCTTCCATCCAGATTTCTTGTATCGTCATCTGACTGCTGGCAGGGAGCAGTCAGGAGGGAACAGTTCACCAGGGTCAGAGGTTGAAGTATGGCTACTAATGTTGTAAAAGCTGATTCCAGTAAAATAAAATAAAACAAATACATAAATGCTTTAGAAATTAGTTAATTCTTGTCTAACTTTTTGGAGCCATTATTAATGTGCAGTTGAGCAGCAGTTCCCAATATAGTGTTAATTCTAAGACTATTACTGTTTTCATTCTTTTTCAGAGGTATTCTATCACTGCTTTCTTCTACAAATGCTTTTTCTCTGTATGTCTCGGTTTCATCTGAACAATTTTTCGTCTTCTGCAGGGTATTATCATCATTAGTTTAATGAATGGATTAGCAGGAAAACAGCTGAGAAAAGCATCATTCCTGGGAAATGAGTTAGAATAGAAAGAAACTATTGAAGGGAGTAACAGTTCACACCTCTAAATTCTCCTGTTTAAATCTGTTCAAGGGGCACAAAGTCATCAATTTCAGTTATTTGATCTGGAGTGGAGTGGATAACTTCACACCTGTGGGATCTATAAATGAAATCTCTAGAAGACTTCTTCCATATTTTTTGTAAAAGTGGAATAGACCACTAAGACACATAAGTTCAAGTGGATTGGAGGGATTTGACACTTCAGTGTCGTGGAAATAGATGACTGTCATTATTGGAACACCTGCTTTGACAACTAATGCTCTTATAGGAATACTGTTTGGAATTAATAAGCCATATTGCCCTCATATCCTGTTTCTGGAGAGAGTATTTCACCACTTAGATCTATACTGATGTTTGTGTACGGTGCTGTGCATTGCATATTTTGCCACAAATAGGCTAGTTCAGAATAAATCCAATTTCTGAAAAGAACTTATCCTTCCAATATGTTAATAACATATATGTTATAGTAGTGTGTTGAAAATAATACTTTTCTTGCTGAAAGTTGTTAGAAGATCATCTACCTGTGCAAATCTATTATTAAGAAAGTGTCATTGTCATTATTTGTATTTTTCACAGTGTTTTAATAGTTTGTGCATTTACACTTTAATTACTCTTTAAGCAGCTGAAGTAAGTTTTGGCCTAGAGTTTTGCCTCTACTTCTAAATCCCTTTAGCTTTTTCTTGCCTTGGACCAAATTTATGTTTTTAGTTATTGAGGTCATCCTTTCTAGAACTAAGATGAAGAAAATTAATTCCCTTTAAAACTTCAGTGTAAGTTTTAGAATTGGCATAATTGGGTAAACAGTTTAAAATTAGACATCTCATTGAATGGCTAAATTTCTTTCACTTGTGTTAAAGGTGTTTTAAAACTGCAGTAACACTGGTGAAATTAGACATTTCTAAATGAACTCATATTCTAGTCTCAAATCTGTCCTTAGAAACACTTAGAATGACACAGGCACATAAAATATCATCCTTTGAACTTAGTTAAGGAAAGTTTAATCTCTCAAATAATGGACCTTCAAATGCTACGTAAATGCTTTCACCGATTAAAGGACTGTCAGGTAATGTGAATGATATGCCCCATTTAATGTTGGGGGATTAATGAGGATTAAACTAGCTATACGAAACAAGAATTTAAGGATTCAAACCCTTATCAATGAAGTAAAACTGATTCAATTTCATTGTGTAAGGAGAACAATTTATTTACATATAATTATTTATAAATGCAAATAATCATGAATGGCTATGTTGGCTGGTAAACTGTAATGTAAGTTAGGTTCATTATTAGATTAATATGTGTAGATAAAATGATCTGATTTGCTAGATTCACTTTGAACTATTGAGCATTCTAAAAATTCTAAATGGAGCAAAATCAACTAGTCTGGTAAAATAACTTTGCTTTTTAGTGTCTTTCTTTTTCATTTCAAACTGAATGTCTTTCGAGCAAGGAGAGTGTTGTTTGTGAAGGAATTTTTTGTTGTTGTTTGCTCAGGAGCTGTGTGCCTTTGTCTCCTTTTGGACATATATATATATTTTTTTCCTCTGAGACTGTGGATGTCACTTCTTTTGTTATCAAAGGAAGTGACTCACAGAAAAGCTTTGATACTTACTGTGATTCAGGATGTCTAGGAAGCAAAAGTTCCTTTGATAGACTAAATAAAACTCAATTAAAACTTGCAAGCAAGTTTTAATATATTGGTAATATATAAAGACTTCCTTAGACACTGTGTAGAATGGAATGGAAAAGGTAATTTGTATACTCCTGAAGATTTTTGACACTGTTACTAATCTGCAGACCTCCATTTGTGGTTTTGACATCAAATGCTGTGGTGCAAGTCAAGAAAGACATTTGATCTTCTCCAGTGTTTTATCTCTTATAGTCTTTCATGGTGACATTTCTGAAAACTGCTGTAGATTCCAGCAACATAGAACAACTGGGAAGGAAAGAATGAAGCAAGTTTGATTACAGAGTATCAATATCATATGTCTATATAGCAATCAACATAGATTATGTATATATTGTGAAATCAATAAAGATGAAGATAATTGAGGGACAAGGAATGATGTCTGAATTCAGTATTAACACGTATCCCATTGTAGTAATCTAACACGTGGTATTTCAGAAGTGAAGCTGGAGGGAGAAGATGAAGAGCTGTCTAAAGGAAAACTAGTCAGCTAAACTATGGACAAATCATTCAGCACTGTCAGACTGTGATGTAAATACTTTATTACCAATGTTTTGGGTTTTTTTCAGTGTTGGTTTTAATGGCGTATGTTTTTCTGGCACTGTTTTGTTTTGTTTTTTTTTAAATTCCATAGCACTGCATTTGCAGTTTCTAGGATTATTTACAGAGATCAGAAATAAAGATCTTAAATCTGTCAAACACTGGTAAACTTTAGGCATAAATGCAGCTTCATTAAATTAGCTTGTAAACATGATTTGCTCTAATATCAATAAAGAAACAGACAAACATGAATAATAAAAGAAAGAAATGTTCTTCAAATATTGTGAACTTGTCCTGTATTAACTCTGTAACTGAAGAATAAGATGTATTCTGTTACATTATCTTTAGTATGTGATTTCTAAAACTTGTTTGATATTTAGTGATTTTTGGAGAGATGTCTTCTTTAGTCTTTGTGTCTTTGATTGAGATTCTGTGGATAATACATTTCTAATGAGGAAGTTCAGCATGTTTGTGTGTCCCAGTTTAGCTTGCATCACTTTTGAGTTATCTGCTCCTTGGTAGAAAACAATGCAATCTTGTTCTTATTCAGTTAGTTACTGATATTAGTGCCTGCTTTCTCTGAGAGCGTGGTTTAAGACTTGCTTAAGTATTATTAAGTATTAGTAAACAAGCTTACAGCACTGAACTTTGGGAGATCAAACTTTAGACTGTTCAGGGATCTGCTTGTATGAGCCCCATGCGATAAGGCCCTGTAGGAGTCCAGGAAAGCTGAGTGTTGTTCAAGGACCATGTCCTTAAAGCACGAGAGAGGTCCATCACAATGAGTAGGATGTCAGGCAAAAAAAGCCAACAGTCCTACATAGATGAACAAAGAGCTCCTGGCAAAACACAGACCAAAAAAAAATAAGGCAGTGTACAGACAGTGGAAGCAGGGACAGAAGTATAGAGGCATTGTCTGAGCATGCAGAGATGCAGTTTGTAAATTCAAAGGCTGCCTGGGGTTGAATTTGGTAAGGGAAGCCAAAAGTCACAGGCTTCTATATTGGTGGCAAAAAAGGAACAGGAAAATTGTGAGCCTTCTGCTGAATGAGGTAGAAACCCTGGTGACATATGATGTGGAAAAGGTTAAGATACAGGGAAGTGTGTGCCCTTGGCAGAAGGGCGAGGATCGAGTCAGAGAAGGCTTGAGCAAACTGAGATACCCCTGAGTGCTGAGAGACCTGGCTAATGTAACTGTGAGGCTACTCCCAGTTATCTGAAGGATTGTGGTAACTGGGGAAGTACCTGAGGAGAGGAATAAGGCTTGTGTTGCTCTTGTTTTCAAGAAGAACCCAGGTAACTGCAGACTCATCAGCCTCACCTTGATCCCTGGGAGGGTGATAGAACACAAATCCTGGAAACTATTTTCAGACATGTAAAGGTCAATAAGGTGATCAGGACTAGTCAGCATAGATTCTCTAAGGGGGACAAAGTCACACATGACAAAACTGATAACTTCCTATGGTAAGTTTCTAAGAAAGGGAAGAACACCAGTTACAGTCTGTCTAGACTTCAGTAAGATTTCTGATACTGTCTCCCATCATTGAAAAACTGTTTATATATAGGCTTGTTGAGCAGACAGGGAAGTGGATTGAAAACTGGCTGGACAGCCAGGCTAAGTAGATGGTGAGCAGTGGTGCAAAGTCTGGTAAACAGTTAGTAGGTAACTAGGAGTGTGCCCTAGGGTTTAATACTGTGTTTTCTCCTATTCTACGTTTTTATTAACAATCTAGATGATTAGACAGTGGACCTTCTCTAATTTTGTATATGATACCAAACTAGGAGGTATGGTGGATATACCAGACAGCTGAGCTGCCATTCAGAGTGATATTGGCAGGCTAGAGAAATGACCTGGAACAAACCTTGTCAGTTCAGCAGAGTGCAGTCCTGATTTTTGAGGGGAGATAATTTTGTGCATGAATGTATGATGAGGCCCAATCTTCT